GTTCTCTTCAACTTATTTCAGATACTTATTACTTATTTCTTAATAAATTCAGATCAGATCAGAAAGATTCAGATCAGAGCTTTTGATTATCATTTACTTATTGCTAAATATCGTTAATTGTATATTAATTTTTTTTATAAAAATTACATATTTAAAAAGTTCATAATGAGAAAAATCTAACAAGATCCATTTTGATAATGTTTCTTTATAGATAAGTATTAAAATGCGATCAAAGTTTAGTCAAATTGTTAAATCAGATCAGAACAGACCAGATCAGATAAATTCAGATCAGACCTTAAAAAATTCAGACCATATCTACTTGTTTCAGATGAAGAGAACAAGTCCTTCATCAAGTTAAAGTAGACACCAACTAAAGTTAAACTGAGTACCAGTATGTATTGAGAGAAGACATGTTTAACTTCTGTGGTTAATTTACTTTTTGTCAATTTTTTTAAAAACACCTAGCTTAACTTAATATAGAGTAAAGAGTTATAATTATTTTATGTTCAGAAAAAAACCCTTCTAGACCGGTAACAACCGATGGTACCATTATCCAGTTAAAGGGACATAAAACCTCAAAAAAATAAAAATAAAATAGAACTAGGAAGCCTTATATTGAGCAGCATCTACAAAATAACATACTTAGGGCCTGTTCACTTCAGCTCAGTTCAGTTCAGTTCTAATCAGTTTAGTCCAATTCATCTCAACTCAGCTCATCTCATAATTTCCTTTTCTCATAAAATATTCATAACATTTCTGTTAAGTTCAGTTCAGCTCCAATCAATTCAGTAAATGTGAACAGGCCCTTAACATTACGTGCAACAAGCTGTCCAAGCTTATGAGTATGACTCTTAAAATTTGGAGTTAGCTCTTCTTAATCACGTTCCGGTTCCAAAAGGTGACATGTAAAAGTTTCGAGCGCGGTGGCATTATCCAGAATGTGAAGTACCAAAATTACATATGTTCAAATCCAATGAATCCAACATATTCAAGCACCCTTAGACTTGGAAATGCCTTGTTGCCCTTGTATTCTATCTGCTGCTGAGTTGCTCCACCTATGTATACTCTTGATAAAGATACCTCCTACTCCAACTCTTGAACGGCAAGGGTTCTAATCCTTGTAATACCATAGCCAGGTGGCGGATCCAGGATTTTCGAACTGGTGAATCACTATCAATAACTGATCACTTGTTTCAATCCAAAAATTATATATATGTATAAATAAAAAATATATTTCACCAAAATGATTTCAATCCAAAAATAGGACATAAAAATCCATACTACAATAGTACTTAAAAATTCAATCTTACAAGTCGAAAGTACGTACTCCAAATAAATAACATGTTACAAACAAATAGTACTATAAAATTATTACATTAAATTAACTTTATTGTACAAGAATTATTAACAAATTATACGCAGTACACAAAAAATAAAATAAAAAAAATAAAAGTGAGATAACTTAAGAGACCTGTTATTAAATATAACAGGTCTCTTTAATGAAAAAAAAAGCAGCGCACCAAATATAATATTCATATACAATGTCAGCAGAAAAGAGACCTGTTATCTAAATAACCCGTCTCTTTGTTATTTAAAAAAAACTGACAGCGTTAGGCAGCAGTAGCATCAAAGAGACCGCCTATTTGTAATAGGAGGTCTCTTTGATATTTTTTTTTTAAAAAAAAAAATCAATTTTTTTTTGCTGGTGAGTCACGTGACTCACCATGCACCTACATAGTTCCGCCCCTGTCCATAGCCTCCTCTTTCACTCTTGAAATCGACATTTGCATAACCCGTATGTTTGAAATAGCTAAGATTCAAAGCATCTATTTCAGTTTCATCTATGTCAGCTTGAAAGATGCGACCTTCAGGCTACGAATACCACACGATTGCCTCACAAAGAGCATGAAACAAATGCAAATGCCTCTAAAAAAAAGAAATTCTAGAAACTCTCAAGTAACTTGGAACATGAAACAAATGCAAATGCCTGAGAGATTTGAGGCCAATTTATGGTTTTATGATATCGAATCCTAGAGAGTACACTCCCATGGCACGATAAGATGTTATATCCAACTCGTTTTGACAATGCAAAAATAACCCATCTATCGATATGATATGCAACACTTGCAGAATAGGCAAATTGAACTCTCAATTTGTTAATATAGTCACCACTATGCACCCTTGTTATATGATTAACCCAATCAAAATACCATATTACCAAATTTTACCTTCTGTGTTGATGAAAAGATGGAGATATCATTGGCAGTGGAAGCTGTCCCTATAATCTTCCTAACCATGTTTGAAAATACCTGTAATTGAATCATGTGAATTAGGTTTGGGTTAATTCATGATTTATTCGAGTGTCCAACGAAAAATAATACGTAATAAAAATTAAACCTTACTTTAGCTCGAAGGTTTAATTGTATAGCTTATTAGCTTGCCAATATTATTGAATAAATCAACTAAGTATTTATATAAAAGATTACTTACATATTCTCACACTCTCAGTAGTTATTAGTAAAATAATCTTAACCCCTTAATTACAACTTTCAATAATGTAAGACTAAAAAATATCCTATAGACTAATCACTAAGGTTATGTTCAGTTTAGCTTAATTTCAGTTCAATTCAGCTCCAATCAGTTCAGTTTACTTCAGCTCTTAATTTCCTTCTCTCATAAAATATTCAGTTTAGTTCAGTTCAGCTCCAACCAGTTCAGTGCAACTCCAATTAGTTTAGTTCCGTTCAGTTCAGTTCAGTTCAGCTCCTAAATTCCTTCTCTCATAAAATATTCAGTTTAGCTTAGTTCAGCCTCCAACCAGTTCGGTTCAATTCAGTTCAGCTCAGTTCAGTAAATATAAACATGCCCTAAATCATATCTTAACATATTCAATGCTCCCACATCAGAAGTTGAGGAGAACGTTTTGGACCTAACCCAAGTCTTTCAACTTTGCTTATTATTAACGTTGTATAAGTCTCGCAAATAATACCGCTTTGTTGCAACTAAAAAAAACGAAAGTGCTTCATATTAAACATGTAATTGGCTAGTTCTCCAAAGTCCACATCCATAATACATCACCTCTACATATTAAACATCTCTAGATAATTCAATTGTTATTCTCCTTAATAGTAGAGCTGTCAAAAGCTGACCCGACCCGAAATACCGACCCTAACCCTAACCCGTCTGAACCCGAAAAAAATGGTGACCCGAACCCGACCTAACCCGATCTGAAACCAACCCTAGACCCAAGTTGACCCGAGTATTTGAGACCCGAACCCGACCATGACCCGAACTAGAGAGGACCCGACCCGAATGTGACCCGTAAATTATTGACCTGAACCGAACCCGACTCGAACCCGAGAATGACCCAAACCCGATTTAACCCGTCAAAACCCGAATTCAACCCGACCTGTTACTAACCCGACCCGAGGTCAACCCAACCCGTTCCTAACCCAACCTGTTACAATCCCGACCCGAAATCAACCCGACTTGTTATTGACCCGACCCAAATTCAACCTGACTTCTTATTGACCTGACCCGAATTTAAACTCGACCTATTACTAACCCGAATTTTAGGATTTAGGAGTTTTTAGGATAAAAAGAGTACTCCGTATTGACTATTGAGTTTCAGGCTTTTTTTCAATTTATTAACATGGATTCCAATTGTAAAACAAAAGTGACCTTTCTCATCTTACTTGACTTATCTCTTACATAATCCTCGTCAAAGGAAAACTGAACTGGACAACAGCCACAAAAAAAAAAAAACAAAAAAAAAAAATGATTGAATCTTAGTATATTAAGGAAGGTTGCACTTTAATGGCGAGATTGTTGAAATTTTCCACCATGAAATCTCTATTGTAATTGATTTTATTTTTTCTAATTATCTTCAACTTCCTATATGAGCAATGATCTATACGAGGACATGAGGTGATAGAGTATTAGAGTAGAGTTGTGACTCTCTGAGCTGTCAATGTTTTTTAAACGTATTTGAGGCAATATGAGGTGAGTGAGGTGAATCGGTGATAGTGATTTTGTCTAATTAAATCAGCCAAATGTATATATTTTTTTTTCTAAATTTATCTTATAAATAAACTTTTTTTTTGAATAGCAAAAACATTTCATTAATTAAAAGTCATATGACATCTAAAATAGAGATTCGACGTTAACAAATACATAAGATTATAACCCGTAAATAAACTTCCATATAACTACTTATATTTTTTTTTTCAAATTTTAGAATTCACTTGTTTATTTTAATATTTTTAAAAATGTTTTAAATTATGCAATTTGATTTGGAGCTTTAAAAAAAAAAATTAAAAATTTTTATTGACTTGAACCGAACCCGACTCGAACCCGAGAATGACCCGACTTGAAAATGACCCGACTTGATTATAACCCGCAAATTATTGACTTGAACCGAATCCGACTCGAACTCGATAATGACCCAACCTGATTATAACCCGTAATAATTGACTTGAACCGAACCCGACTCGAACCCGAACATGACCCTAACTCGTTTAAACCCGTAAAAACCCGAATGTAAACCGACCTGTTTTTCACCCATCCCGAATATAACCCGACCTTTTATTGACCCGACCTAAACCCGACCCAAACCCGATAAGATGTATGACCCGACGTGACCCAACTCAAGCATGACCCAACCCGAACCCGACCCGCATAGGTCCCGACAATAACCCGTACTGACCCGACCCGAGATGACCCGACCTACACTAACCCGACTCAAACCCGACCCATTTACCCGAATTGACAGCTCTACTTAATAGAGTTGTCACAAGTCAATGGATTTAAAATTGAGTATGTTTGCTCCACTTTCCTTTTTAAGGTGTCCCCAAAAGATTGCCCCATACTATTTTGGCATATTTTTCCACTTGCACTCTCTCTATCTCTCTCCTCATTGATATTTGTGTCAACCCATGTGCACCATTTTTTGCCCAAAGCCTTAATAAAGTAGATTTATAATTTAGGGTAAATAATTGGGGACAAAGGGGGTATTAGTGTATTACCATATCAAACTTGAAGAGTACTCCAAACTTGAATTATGTAGGTTTTTTTTTTCCCCTTTTTATATAGTGTTACAAGGATACGGTGAGAATCAAATTCATGATCTCATAAGATCAGAAAAGAAGTTCTAATGACTTGATGATATCCTTCGATTTTCACTTTTTAGCTCATAGTTTTCTTTTGGTCCAATTAACCCTTTCCTAATTAGAAATAACACACCCCATCCATCCAAAGTCGGTTCGCAGTTGGCAGACTTGGCACCCTTTAAAAACCCAGAAAAGACCATCTCTTTCTCGATAACAATGGCGTCTTCAGAATCAATGGAAGACAAAGCATTTTCAGAGAGAGTGAAGAAAACATTTGGTTCCCTTTTCGCAACTCTAGAACCTTCTCCTAAATCTCTTTCAAACCCACTTTGGTCTCTCACTGATTCCCAGGTTGAGAAGAAAGAATGGCGTCGTGAAATCGACACTTCTAGAGATTCCAACCCTTGTTCTTCTTCCTTCGATGATTTTCTCTCTCATGCCCGTAAAAATTCCCGCAAAAATCTCCAGAATTATCGCAAGGAGCTTCAGGATGGTGATCTTCGAGATCTTGATGGTGATGGTGATGATGAAGAAGATGGTGGTGAGAAGGTTGATTTGAATGATTTGGATGTTAAAGCTTCTATTGGCATGGATTCTACTCTTGATAATGAGGTAATTTTACTTTCCAATTTTTGATTTGGTAAAAAAGTTGTATTGATGATTTTTTAGGGTTTATATTTGATTGAATTGAATTGGGGAGTGTGTGGTTTTGATTGTTTTTAGTGAATGATTGTTTTATTTTAAATTACAATGTTGGTTCTGCACTGTTGAATTTTAATTTTGTTTTTGGGTATTTAATTTGGAATGTTGAATTTAGGGTTTATATTTGATTTACTGAATTGGGGAAAGTGGTAGTTTGCTTGGTAATTTGAAAAAGTTTAGTTCTTATTTGGCAATGTTTTGTATTGGAAGTATGATGAGTTGTTTGGAATACAGTTAGTGTATCAATTGAGTTGTTTGGAATATACAGTTAGTGTATCAATTAAGTTTTGTTGGGTTTAGTACGGAGCTCGGAGGACATGGATTAACACTTAACGGTTCCGAAGGCGAAGGAGAAGGGTAAGAACGCTTTTTTTTTTTTGGGGGGGGGGGTTTCCTGTCAATGTAGAATATGTTATTAGGTCCTTTTGCTGAGTGTTTAGGAGTGTGATTATGCGTAAAATGGTGTTAGTCCTCGTATTGTTTCTGGTTAGGCAGTAGGAATTTGCACCGATCACTTGCCCCTACTTCAATTGAAGTTTGAGGTAGTTAGGAACTATCCTGTAATTGCAGCCTTTTTTAGTTCCCTCAAGCTGTTGATAGTTGGAATTTGCACCTATCATTTGCCCCTACTTTAATTGAAGTTTGAGTCAGTTCGGAACTATCCTATAATTGCAGCCTTTTTTAGTTCCTTCAAGCTGTTGATAGTTGGAATTTGCATCGATCATTTGCCCCTACTTCAATTGAAGTTTAGGCAGTTAGGAACTATCCTATAATTGCAACCTTTTTTAGTTCCCTCAAGCTGTTGATAGTTGGAATTTGCACCGATCATTTGCCCCTACTTCGATTGGAATTTGAGGCGGTAAGTAAACAATAATTGCAGGCTGTTTCATTTGCCTCGTGCTATCAATTCATTTCTTAGCTCAGTGGTGGTAGGAAATTATAGAGTTTAATTCTGTTGATAGTAGTTAATCTTCTAGGGGGTTTTTATATTGTTGTTTGCTTGATTCTATTTTCGGCTGCTTTTCAGAAGAGATTGTTGAATTATGGCTCTTACAAGATCATTGCTGGACAATTTCATAAATAACATATTTTGAATTTATGCTAGTCTAATCACTTATGGGTTTTTGATCTTGCAGGATGAAGAAGATACTTTTGACAAAGTTGCCTTAGGAAGGGAGAATGCTGGTGATCGGTTGTATATGAGGGATGTTACTGGTGGTCATGATTCCCATTTCAGCGCTTTGGATGACCTCCCTGGTGCAGTTGGGATTCTTGGGACCAAGGGGAAGGATCCTCGTGCTAATCGCCAGGCTGCAAGGATTAGACTGAAAGAAGATGATGCAGAAGCTGCTGCACAGGGAGAACATAAACCGGAGCAGTCTCCTTCAACTGCTGAAAGAGATTCTTCTGTCTCAACTGCAGGTCTTGACAAACTGAAGCCTATATTAAAAAGGAAGGAGCGTGAATCAACTTCAAAGCCGTCGAAACGTGTCAGGTTTGACCCTCTTTGTATAAGCAATGATGAGAGAGCTAGTGAAATTCCAAGTAATAAGACTGAAACTATGGTCCAAGTTAATGGGGCAGAGTTGAATCAGAATGTTTCTCGAGTTCCAGATCATGTTCAAAATCCTTCCAAATACACATGCTATACTCTTGATTCCACTGAGGAAATGGGCAATAAGTCAAATACGGGTGCATACTTGGAGTTTGTTGAGATGATGAAGGCAAAGAATTCTGTGTCAGGATCTGACTCGGATGTTCCTACTGATCTCCCCAAATCAGTGACCTTTGTTCCTAAGAAAAAGTCTGATACTTCGAAAGGTGTTCATAATGATGCGAGTCAAGTGAAAGGAAGTGATGCAAAGTGCACCCCATTGCAATCAACCTTTCTTGATATGGCAGCTGAGGACCAGGAGACTGAAGCTGGTGACATGGACATTGATGAACCTGAAACAAGTGCAGAGTCCGACAAAGGCATCGTGTTTAGGAAGCAGGGTCGTCAGTATCGAAAGCCCCAGGCAGATGAGCCTGCGTAGATGGGGTGTGGCTTGTAGTTGCCAGTTGAACTATTATTTTGCACGACTGCTCCTTTTGGCGAAGATTGGCTCATGTGTGAAAAGTTATGTTTAAAAAATATGAAAAGCCGCGCTGTGGATGGATTTTGTTACTTGCATAGTCTCAATATATTAACTTGTACTTATAAGTTCAGTTTCCCTTTGGTGAAATGTTGGATTGAGGCTTATGCTTGCTAGTATTTGTGTTGCTTTCATGAGGACAGGGAGCAGTGTCCTGTTTTATGCTGTAATTGTTATTTGCAATGCTCAAAGCGTGTTTAGTTGCTTTGACGGGGCAATGTTATGCCTTACTTTCCCACCCTAACTGGTGCCACTGCCGCCTCCCCTGCAGTAGAAGGCTAATCTATGTGGATGCTGTATTCTGAAAGTTTGTTTTATTAATATTGATACAATGACAGTATAGTCGTAATGTGGTTTATCGTTAACTTTTTACAATATTCTTTATGGATCCTTATTTTTTTTCCCAACATATTTGTGTTGCATTACCCAAATTATTTACGTTTCCTAAATATTTATATGGCTCTTAACATACAGTATTGAAGATTCTGACTTCTGTAGTGTAGGAAGTCCTGTATCATCTGGTTGAGCTGAATTCTTTTGCTATGGTCCCAGGCCAGGTCAGTCAAGAAAGATGCCCGATATTTTCTCATGCCTAACATCAAGATATCCCCTGTTTTGCTCTGTCATTGTGAAGAAATTGTAGCGCTGATTCCATATCAGGTAAGCAAAGTTCCAGCATCTCGCAAATTTTGGTCTGATTTTCTATCTTCATTGATGTATAATGTTCAATGGATTCAAATCATACGATTATATATTTGCTCCCTTTTCCTAGCATGGACGCATGGTAAAATAAAAGCTTCGGAGATTATAAGACTCCACAAGAACCTCTTTTTTTTTTTGTTTTGTTTTGTTTTTTTTTTTTTTTTTTTTTCGATTCTGGTTGGGCTGACATCTTTGGCTTAGGTTCCGAGCCATGGTAGAACGAACCATCTCATTCTCATGCCTAACGAGTAATTTCTAAAGGCCCCCCTTTTGCTCTGCATATCTTGTTCACAAAGCCACATCCGACTCTTGAGTTTTTACCAGAGAGCTGATATTATATATTTACTGCATCTGATCTGAAATGTTTTACTCTGTACTGAGGTATAGTGCAGCAAAGCTAACCCATATAATGCCCTTTTTACTCTTTATTGCAGACTTTGATCTGAATTTCTGAGTTGACGTATGTTTTCCAGTACCTTATGGTATTATCATTTTCAAAGCTAAGTTATCTAATGAAATGAACAATGTATAGCTAGAAAAGTGTCATTCAAGGTAGGAAAAATGACAGCATCGCAACAAAATTTACATGCATCATTACATCTGCTTGATTAATGTACATTTTATAATCACCTAGTTAAATCCATCATATTCGCCGAAGAACAATTTTTCCCTTAGCATCATCCTGCGGTAAAACCTCATTCGGCGGAGCATGTCTCCAAATACGAGGCTTCTCTAAATTATGACCAATCTCAGCAAACTTATCAGCAGCTCGATTACCCTCTCTATAAATATGTGTCATAGTGCAGTTGTTTATCTTAGGTATGATTGTGTTTATACGACTGACATACCTTTGAGCTTTTGATGACTTTATAGTGCGTCTCTGAACAATCATGTTCACCAATGCCTCGGCGTTACCCTCAAGCCACACATTGGTCCACCCATTCTCTACTATAAGCTCAAGGCCTCTGAGGAGGGCTGCCAATTCTGCAATGGTGTTATCTGAACTTTCAATGGATTCCGCATAGCCAAGTACGAACTTAGCATTATGATCTCAGAAAACTCCTCCGATGCTTGCTTTGCCACACACGCCCTTAAAAGATCCATCAAAGTTCAACTTCGTGCACCCTACCTTAGGCTTCTCCCAAGAAACGGGTATAGACAACTTATGTTGGTTCCTGACTAGCAATAGTCCAACAGCTGATGGATATTGTGCATTTATCCTAAGACAACTAAACAATCTTGTGATGAATGTCAACATATTTTCAAATTATACATCAAATGGAAAGAGTTTTTATTATTTTGGTATATACGTGATTGTTAGATACATTTCATCTGTAAATGAACTATATATACTAACGAACTAACAATTCGAGGAAGGCCTTGTTTATCACCTTGGTACTCCTTCATGGCTCTTCTGCTTCATTCATTCACCCAAGCTTATTTAGTTTCCAAATTCCAACTGATGTTTACAACTTTCCAAAAACACAAAACTGAAATGTTTACCTAGTTCCAATAAACATTTGTGTACTTTTGTTCATTTCCTTGTTTCTAATCGTCACTACTACTACTTTACTAGTCTACTAATAAAGACATATAGACTATAAGGTCCAATAAACATTTGTGTGTGTGTGCGCGTTGTTTTTTTTTTTTTTTTTTTTTTTTTTTTTTTTGTGATTTTCACTTGTGTTTGAGCTCTAAGGCATTTTTATGATTAATTTTAAAATAAGAAATGTGTACAATAAACTGTGTGATTTATGTGTAACGGTGTTTTAAAATCAACTAGAGATGCCTATATTGAGATGGATGTATGTAAGCACCTTTATAGATAAAAAAAAATTAAATTAAGATACTACATTTCAAAAAAGTTAGGTTGGAATAAATTGAGGATATTGTAAAAATTGCATTGTTGGTTTGGGCATGTCAAACAAAGATCAAAATACAGATCCTTAAAGAAAGAAGAGGATTAGGATCAAGGAGAGCTTAGAAGAGATAGAAAAAGACCAATAAAGACTTAGATAGGAGTTAAGAAAGACATGAAGAAATAGAATTTAATTTGGAAGAGACAAAATGAAATGGAAGCTAAGGATGGAGAGAATCATGGTTGGCGATTAAACGTGATAAACCTTGGTTCATATATCCGACACCTTTCTTTTGGGATTTAGGCTTTAATTGATTAACTTATAAATTGCTTTATTTAAAATGATCACAAGTTAACTTGATATATACTACAAGGTGCTTGATTTATATTGATACTTAAAATTTACCATGCATGAAAAAAAAAAAAAAAACACTACCTTTTCTTGGTCATTTTACTCTATTGCAAACTTTGATCTGAATTTTCTCCAAATATAATGTAAGTTTTCATGTTTTGCACGCTATTTACATTTTTAAAGCTAAAGTTATCTAATGAAATGAACCATGTACAGCTAGAATATTGTCATTCAAAATAGGAAAAAAAAATGACGATGCATTGCAAAATTTACATTAATGCATCAATTGCTTAATTAATCAATTATGTACATGTTTTCGACACCTAGTTTAATCAATCAATCTTTATCTTCTCCGAAGAACAATTTTTCCCAGAGCATCTTCGTGCATAATGGGCAAAACCTCATCCGGTGGAGCATGTCTCCAAATACGAGGCTTCTCCAATTGATGACCAATCTTAGCAAACTTATCAGCTGCTCGATTACCCTCTCTATAAATATGTGTCACAGTACAATTGTTTATCTCAGGTATGATTGTGTTTATATGACTAACATACCTTTGAGCTTCCAACGACTTCATAGAGCGTCTCTTAACAATTATGTTAACCAATGCCTTGGCGTCTCCCTCAAGCCACACGTCGGTCCACCCATTCTCTAGTACAAGCTCAAGGCCTCTAAGGAGGGCTGCCAATTCTGCAATGGTACTATCGGAATTTTTAATGGATTGTGCATAGCCAAGTACGAACTTAGCATTATGGTCTCGGAAAACCCCTCCGATGCTTGCTTTACCACACTTGCCCTTAGAAGACCCATCAAAGTTTAATTTCGTACACCCTACCTTAGGCTTCTCCCATGCTACGGGTATAGCCAAATTATGTTTTTTCCTAACTAGCAATAATCCAACGGATGATGGATTTTGTGCAATTATTCGATGATAATTAAAGAATCTTGTTATGGATGTCAACATATTTATAAATTATACACAATGGATCACAACTTCCCTAAACTCGGGGTACGTAGTATATACAAGAGATACACAATTAGTCAAGTATCTACATGAAACAAAGAAGGATAAAAAAGAAGAGGAGAGGAATAAAAATACAATGTCTTAAATGGATCAATAAGATGCCCAAAAATAAGGATTATATCAATGGATTAAGAAATTTTTATACGCCAAATACTAAGTAATATAGAGGTTCCTTGGGTGAAACGCATTGAATTGTTAGAGTAGTATATGATGATCAAAGCAAAGAATATTCAAGGTTTCATGCACTATGTATACGGCAACATAATGCAAATTATTATTAATAGATAGATTATATTGTCTTAAGACAAATTCTTCATTATTTTATTAATTAATTACCTATTAATCTATTCAATGTACATTTTAACGCAACATATATATATATTGTAAGAACTAAGAACGAATTGAAGTTTGCGTGGATTTATGAGTTTACATAAAATTGCCATTTTTTTTACGCTTTATAACCATAAACATAAACAAGAGTGGATGATCTTTTTGTTTAATCAAAATCAAATTTGACATTTTTGTAGCCATATTAAACGTAGTAATTGATAAAGGCATACCATAAATTCCATACAAATAGAAATAAACAAAAAAATAGAAATAAAATAAAAACAAAATTCAAAGACATATTACAGTTACGCTCTAATAGAGCATATAACTATAACATATTCCTGTTTCCTCAAAAAAAAAAAAAAAAAAAAAAAAACTATAACATATTCCTGGGCCTCAAGTACGAGTTTCCAATTTTCACCCATTTAAGCTTTAGGTTGACTTAATCTTCAAACTCATACATATATTTAACCAAGTTTGTTCTCAATGGTTGTATTCAATTCCTTAATGAAGCTATCAATATTTTTCTCCGAAGATCCATTTATCATCATTGCATTTTGTAATTCATGCTTGATCTCTTTAATCCTATCACGGAGCTCATTCCCTAAAGATCCACCAATTAAATCCTTTACCTTTAGTAACACCTCTTCTCTTGTAACATACTTCTCTTCGCAAAGATTGCACCCGATTTTCCAATCATCCACCATTAGTTTACGATTTGTAAATTGATCCGTCAATAAAGGAAAACATAGTAAAGGAACTTCACACCATATACTCTCTAATGCCGAGTTCCAACCACAATGTGTTATAAACCCTCCTATAGCACGATGAGATAACACCGCTTTCTGACAAGTCCATGTCACGATCATCCCACGACCACGAACCTCATCCCTAAACCCAACCGGGAGCGGGTCCACATCATTAGAACTCACCATATCCGGTCTAATCACCCAAAGGAAGTTCACCCCACTAAGCTTGATTCCATTAGCTATCTCCTCAATATCCTCCTTACTAAGATGTGCATAGCTACCAAATGAAACATACAAAACTGACCCAAGAGGTTTAGAGTCTAACCAAAGGGTGCAATCTGACTCGGCCCATAAACTAGTGGCTACTGGGCTTTTGGTAAATCCAGGTGAAAATATAGGCCCAATTGTATAGAATGGAACATGGGCCTGAATGGCTGAAATTGTATGGGCCTCTAACTCTTGGATTGTATTACCAAGTATAAATTGGGCTCGTTTTGTGTCGTCTACTGATGATAAATTGTATTGAGGATGCATAGTTGTCAAGTCTTCTTCTTGAAGATATGATGTCAAATCTGACCGTTTTAGTGAACTTATTCCTGGTATGTAGTCAATGATATCATCTCGCAAACTTGATCCTAATAAAAAAAATAAAGCAAATATTAATTACTCGTGTTTATCTATTTAACCATTCACTATTTATGTGGTAAAACTTATAACACTTTGACAGTATGTTGTAATTACTAAAGTATTGGGAAAAAAAAAGTTGATGTTACAATTCTTTTTTTGTCCCCTATTGCAAAAAGAAGAGAGGGTAAAGATCCCTAACTACCCTAAGCACCCTCACTTGGAAAGGATTCGAACCCACAATTCCAGGATATAAGGTAAGAAACTTACTAAATGAACCAATATGTACTTCATTGATACCATATGTAATAATGCATTTTTGTATTTTGATTAGACTTGTTTTTATTATAATAATGATAAAAATCCAAGTGTTGAATTGATTTATTTTCAAGTGGGTTGTGATAAGGAAGGCTAAGTTTTTTTTTTTTTTTTTTTTTTTGCTTGCATTTATTGGGAGAGGGAATTATATAGCAGCCGCATTGGACATGTTAAACCATCATTAGAGGTGAGAAATCAGGTCATTTAATTTATTTAATGGAATTATGATTCATACAACTAAGAGACATTTAGTCTAGGTAAGGAAAGGGTCCATTAAAATATTGCTAATTAACTTATTATGAAAAACATATCAATTTAAGCTACAGTATATTGGAGTTTACATCATCTAGTTTTGGATTTTGTTACTGTATACTATGATATAAGTCAATTCCGGTTTGGATCATTTAGTTTCAAGTCGGTAGGTTTTGTACTAATCAAATCGTTAATTTTATAATTACAGTATTATTATTATTGACCCGAGATCCATAAGCGCTCAATCAACTTTAAATTAAACATAATGACCCTTATTTTAATATGGTAATCTTAATTAAAACTTATGTGACCATTAAAATTATTGCGAACATAAAGTATAATTTTATGTTGAACACAATAACCCTATTTATAACATAGTGACCTTTAATATTTTTATAAGCTTTATAATAAGACAATACCTTTATTTTAACATAGAGACCCTTTTTTATAATTTATTGATAAAACGACAATAATGTCTCTAATATTAGTGGTTCACAATAAATTAATGTGAATCGGGTCTATTTAAGAGGTTTAACCATTAAATCTAGAGGTGAGTAATAGATATAGATATTTAAAAAATAGAGCTAAGACAACAATAATTACCAGGTCCAATATGGCCATTTTGCTGAAGCAAGTGACGGTGAAAATAAATATCAAGCACCATAGCAGGCTCAGTCCAAAACGATACATGAATCATTCCAAACTTGCTAGCCAACTTCGACGCCCAAACAAAGTAACTATCAGCAACCAAGCAACAACCAACCGACGGCCGAGATCTCACGATCTTATCCACAGCCACTTCCAAATGAGCTCGGAAGGTGTAAGTATTTGCCCCAACCCACTCGTCATGATTCAATGACCTATCGAACTCTAAAGGTAACCCGTCCGAAACCGTTACATATTCGATGTCGAGGCCAGAAGTGTTCCTGGCCTCGACAAAGATATCGCCACCGCTTTGTTGTAAAGCGGTGGCGTTGGAAAGAGTGATTTGGTGGTGGATGTGGTTGGTGTTGATGAAAGAGATGGAGAAACCTTTGGAAGCTAGTTTGATGGCTAGCTCAACGAATGGGATTACATGGCCTTGTAGTGGAAGTGGTACTAGTATGGCATGAGGCTTATTTTTGTAGTTTGAGTTTGAGCTATTCATATTTTTAGGAACTGTTAAGATAATTGCAAACTTTTGAAGTGATTTATTATTCCTTTGGAGAGTAGTAAGAGGATGAATGATTGGGGGATATGTGCTAGCTTCTAAGGATGTTCAATCCCTTTGGTAGCTAGCTAAAAGCTTAGAAAAGTCGTCATTTGTTTAAGTCCATTTTAAATAAAGAATGAGTTTAATAATTTATTTTAACTTATCTTTGCTTTATTTTAATATATATATATATATATATATATATATATATATATATATATATATATATATATATATATATATATATATTTAACATAGTACTTTTATAGGCTGGGCGGCATCGATTTATACATACTCCATAATAGTTATTAGTTAATCGTTTTGGATTTAAAGAATGACAAAAAATAATAAGATTAACTAGAATTAGGGCCTGTTCAAATTTACTGAAATGAGTTGAACTGAACTAAACTGATTGGAGTTGAACTGAACTAATTGGAGCTGAATTGAACTGATTGGAGCTGAACTGAACTGATTGGAGCTGAATTGAATTAAACTGAGCTGAAATGAATATTTTATGAATGAAGGAAATTAAGAGCTGAACTGAACTAAACGGATTGGAGCTAAACTGAACTGTACTGAACTAAATTTAAGCTGAAGTGAACAAACCCTTAGGTCCTATTATTTTGGACTGAAATTTATTGAATTGAACTTAAACAATTCTAAATGTAATGACTTGAGTTTACCTATATTAAATTAAAAAGTTTTGCTGGGAAGTCCAAAATAACTAAACATTATTCTTGCTAAATAGACCATATAGGTCAAATAGTTGGAAATCAAACATTGTATTACAAGATTCCCAAACAAATTGGAAGACACCAAATGACAAACAAGTAATCTTGGTTGTAATCTTGTTTTCTTGCAATAACTTGTTATCTAAAAACAAAAAACTTTAACCGTACGTAGTACAATAATTATTCTAACCCTTTTTTTTTAAAAAAAAATGAAAGCAACCAAATTTGTTCTTAGTTAGCTCCACTTATTAATTTCTCAATGAATTTCTCAACACCTTTCTCGGAAGATCCATTTGTCGTTATTGCATTTTGAAGTACACGTTTGGTCTCCTTGATCTTAACATTGAGCTCATACCTCTTAGACCCACTTATTAAACCCTTTATTTTTCGTACCACCTCCTCCCTTTTTACGGGATTTTCATCATCACAAAGGTTGCAACCGATTTTCCATTCATCCACAATTAATTTACGGTTGGTAAATTGATCGGTCAATAATGGAAAACACAATAACGGAACTTCACACCATATACTCTCTAGTGTCGAGTTCCATCCACAATGTGTTAAGAATCCTCCTATTGCACGATGAGATAAGACCGCTATCTGACAAGTCCATGTCACGATCATCCCTCGATCACAAACCATATCTTTAAATCCGATAGGAAGTGGATCCGTATCATCGGAACTCACCATATCGGGTCGGATAACCCAAAGGAAGTTAACCCCACTTAGCCTAATTCCATGAGCTATCTCCTCTAGCTCCTCCCTAGTGAGATGTGCATAGCTACCAAATGAAACATATAAAACCGAGCCATTAGGTTTTGAGTCTAACCATTGGATGCAATCTGACTCGGCCCATAAATTAGTGGCCACTGGGCCTTTTGTGAACCCAGGTGCAAATAATGGGCCAATTGCAAAAAATGGAGTATGGGCCTCAATGGCTTTGATGCAATGGGCTTCGAGATCTTGGACCGTGTTACCAAGTATATAATCAGCCCGTTTAGTATCTTCTAGTGATGGCAAGATGCATTGATGTGGGATTGTTGTCAAGTCTTCTTCTTGAAGATATGATGTCAGATCTGATCTATTGATTGATCTTATCCCTGGTATGTAGTCGATTGGATCGTTTCGTGAACTTGTTCCTAATACAATAAAATAAAAAAGGGTTTGTGAATTATGAGATAAAGAAAAAAGATTGATGTGATGGAATAATTTTTGTCCCACATATATAAATGTTATTATAATATTAATTTGTTCGAGTACAAGTCATTTTAACAACGAAACATTTAGATTTAGAGTTGTTTAAATTAGGGGTATCAATTTGGTATATGGAGAATATCTCAAAGCCAAATCAAACCTAATTTGCAAAAGCTAGGATTTTTTTTTCCTCTCAAAAGTTCTACTTTGAGTTGTTTATTTTTTAGTTTAAAATGTGGAAGAAAAAATTAATCGGTTATGAGATCAAATCAAAATTGTTGAAGAACAGGGGACTAGGGGAGGTCGGGAGTTGGGACTTGAGATGTGTGTAGATATGTTATAAACTTTTACAGATAAGCATAAATTAATAAGATCTACCTTACCGAAAAAAAAAAATTGGATTTTATGAGTTGTAAGTCATATGATGAACATGTGATGTATTGATTTTTACTATTATTAAAATAGGAGAAATAAATCGGACTAGTTTGACCGATTTTATTTTGCATTACTTGCATCACTTTTAATGTCCTACGTGCTTATCAATGTACAACTTATACTAGTATGTTAAGTTGTTTTTGTTGTACCTTTTATATTTGTATTACAAAATACTAAAATGATGGTCAAATATATAATGCAAAAGTCAATATGATGTAAATAATCTAAATCACAAGAGTACGGAATGATAGTCATGTAGATTGACAAAGAATAAAGATAGAGGAGAGTAAAGTACCAGGACCAACATGGCCATTTATCTTGAGCAAGTGAAGATGAAAGTATAAATCAAGCACCATAGCAGACTCAGTCCAAAACGATACATGTAACAAATCAAACTTCTTAGCCAACTTTGATCCCCAAACCGAGTAACTATCAACGATCAAGCAACAAGTAGCCGGCCTCGAACTCATGATCTTCGCTACGGCTACCTCCAAGTGAGCTGGGAAGCAGTGGATTGTAGCCCCAACCCATTGATCATGGTTCAATGAACGGTCAAACTCTAATGGTAACCCGTCGGATACAGTCATGTAGTCGATGTCGAGGCCCGATGTGGTTCGGGCCTCGGTGAATAGGTCGTGACCATCACTAAGTGTGGTAGGGTTGGAGAGGGTTATTTGATGGTGAATGTTTTCGGTGTTTATGAAAGTTATTGATAGGCCTTTTGATGCTAGCTTCATTGCTAGATGTACGGTGGGGATTAGATGGCCTTGTAGGGGATGTGCTACTAGTATTGCATGAGGCTTTTTAGTTGAGTTGGAGTTGGAGTTCGAGTTTGAGTTTTCCATTTGTTTTACTAAAAACACTAAAAAGAATTGAGTTTGGAAGTGAAGGAAAAGGGAGGGGTCTTTGTTGGGAAATAATTGAAGATAAATGATTGGGATGGGGGACTTGTATATGGGAAGAAACCGAAGAATAATATGAATTAATTTTCAAATTAAATAGGAATTTTTTTTATGAAATAATCCGCTCTTTATTATACTATCTAACAGTTTTATATTTATTGTAATATATTAAATATATATTTTGAAAGTCGTGTAACAGAAAATCAGACAAACATGGGAGGTAATTTTTATCAATCTTAACAACTTATAAAAAGATATAGACTACTATAAGGACAAATGAAGCAAACACCATTAATTTTTTTTTTTTTTTTATTAATTTTTTTTTTTTTTTGAAAAAAATGGAGCTTGATTGTGGTCACCATAGTGGAGCCTCCGTCTCCCATGATTACTAAGGTGTAAAGTAAGGGGTACTAGTCAATTACTAATAGTAGAGTACACCGTAGTTGACTAGTACTCTTTAGTCATTAGTGGGAGGATCATTAGATGATCATATTTGTCGGATATATAAATTGAAATGTTACCAACATAAACTCAAATAATATTGGACCAAATAACCCAAATGAAGTTAACTATACTTAGCTAGTAAGCTTTGTTCTGATGTAAGTCACTAACAACTCCTCCTTCCCAATACGTACAATTGTCCTTGGCTACCAATCAAATTATTACCTTCGTTTCATATTAAATATAATATTTTATTAGCAATGATTATTTCATAAGGAAATTATAGTCATAATGAATTTGTTGAATTTGTCTCAATATATATACCTTCAATATATCAATTTTTTTATAGAATGATATTGAAAAATAATATTGATACAATAACAAGGGTAAAGCTTTAAATGGTACAATTACGTAGTAATAAAATTACTCCGTACATGAGGCCTTGTTTGACAAGTGGCTGTTGGCGGTTGGCTGGTTCACTTAGCTTGTTTGACCAGCTGGTATGTTTGACTGTTTATAATGCCTTTTGAAATTGGCCGTTAAAGCTGGCGTGCCAGCTGAAATAATTGTCAAACCTCCAAAAGTTTCAAAGAATAAAGGGACTGGAGTTCATGTATCAAATGAAGAGACATCAAAAAAGAAAGCGAGTGAGACTGATGTGTCAAATGTTGAAACAAGAGGTAGAAGTGCAAAAAGGCTTAAGGGAGAAAAAGAAAAGGCTGTAGAACAAAACCAAAAAAAGAAGAGATTATGTAGAGGTTGTGGTGAATTGAGTCATCATGATATTAGAAATTGTCCAAAAAAAGTGTAATGGTACTTTTATATACATATAAGATTTTGTTGAATTTTTATATTTAATAATATATTATTAATTTTGTACTAATCATAGTTTAATGCTTTGCAATATTGTTGAATTGAAAATAGAACATATTCAAATGAGTGACTAAATATTTGTTCATTTCTCAAATGAGCAATAATTCCTTGCTCAATAATCAAATGAGCAAATAATTATTTGCTCATTTGGTAAGTGAGCAAATTAGCTATTATATGAACTTGGAACAATTACACTCTTGTTTCATCTCCCAGTCCAAAATCAGCTCTCCTTGGGTCAAATGAGCAAACATATCTTTTCTCAATCATCAAATGAGCAAGTAATTCCTTGCTCACTTAGCAAATAATCAAAAAAGGTAAAAGCTCATTTCTTAAATGAGAAAAAATAGTTGCTCATTTGTGAAATGAGCAAACATTTCTTTATTCATTTATCAAATGAGCAAGAAATTCTTTGAACATTTCTCAAATGAGCAATAATTCCTTGCTCATTAATCAAAAGAGCAAATAGTTAACTACTCATTTTGTCAAATGAGCAAATAATTATTTGCTCATTTGGCAAGTGAGCAAATTAGCTATTATATGAACTTGGAACAATTGCACTCTTGTTTCATCTCCCAGTCCAAAATCAGCTCTCCTTGGGTCAAATGAGCAAACATATCTTTTCTTAATCATCAAATGAGCAAGTAATTCCTTGCTCACTTAGCAAATAATCAAAAAAGGTAAAAGCTCATTTCTTAAATGAGCAAAAATAGTTGCTCATTTGTGAAGTGAGCAAACATTTCTTTATTCATTTATCAAATGAGCAAGAAATTCTTTGAACATTTATCAAATGAGCAAGAATTCATTGATCTATCATTTAATGAGCAAACATCTGTTTGCTCATTTAACAAATGAACGAATATTTCAAATGAACACTGGTTGTATATAACAAGGTATGTGAAGTAAAAACAAATAAAAGATTGAATTTTAATTCAAATATAATCATCACTATAGTAAAAAAGGGTAGGCTTCTATTGAGAAAATCTGTTTATAAATCAGTTTTACATCATTCAAAGACTACTTAAAAGTAGATAAAATCTTAATTTACCCAATTCCCTAAACCAAAAAAGACAAATCATCACTACTAACTATTTAATTCCCTAACATTCAGCTTTCTTCAGTCTTTTGCTCTTTCTTCCTTGAACTTTTTCTTCTTCAGGCTCTTCTTTTTCAGCATTTTCTTCTTTGTCAGCAACAGAAACTTTACTTTGCTTTTTCTTCTTCTGAGCAATTTCTTTAACAGATTGAATAGTGTTCACTTCACTTGTAATTATTCCCAGGGTGTACTTTTCACGAAGTTTAGTCAAGATTATTAGCTGCAAAACAAATAACATAATCAAACCCTATACAATTAAGGAGATTTCAATAACATGAGCAAACATGTAAAAGTAACACCACAAGTTGCAGTTGTAACTTGTAAGGCAATGGCCTACGGTATTGCTAGATTAATGGACCATAGACCTCAAAATTAAAGTAAACATTTGATAGGAATCCTTGCTCATTTATGAAATGAACAAGTAAATCCTTGCTCATTTGTCAAATGAGCAAACATTTCTTTGCTCATTTGATAAATGAGCAAGTAATTTCTTGCTCATTTAGCAAATAATCAAAAAGTTAATTGCTCATTTCTTAAATGAGCAAAGAATTAGTTGCTCATTTGTTTAATGAGCAAACATTTCTTTGTTCATTTATGAAATGAACAAGTAAATCCTTGCTCATTTGTCAAATGAGCAAATAATTTCTTGCTCATTTAGCAAATAATCAAAAAGTTAATTGCTCATTTCTCAAATGAGCAAAGAATTAGTTGCTCATTTGTGAAATGAGCAAACATTTCTTTAAAGTAAGAAAATAGACCAAAACATCTTATTATTAATGAGACTAATCTAAAAAACTTACATTATTTTTCTTCAAACCAGGATCCCACTTTGCACAACCCATGTATGTTTCCATGAGTCTCATCACTGCAACTCCACAATGCAAATGATTTTTATCCGAAGACTTCCATGAACCATTAATCACAGAAATTTCCATCCGCTTGATATCATTTGCCAAAATAGAACTCTGTACATTTCCTTCACATTGAATAAAGTTTGAAAAAGCAGTTCTCTGAAAATTAAAACATCAAATAAGCAAACATAATAAAATCTGATCATTCAAGTAAAAGAAACAAACATAATGTGAATAAAGATTAACTTTTAAGCCATACCAAATGTTTTAAAAGCTGTTTATGATCTCCAGCATCTTCGTTATAATCAAAAAGCTCGATATTACCATTCAGTGTGGTAGTATTAAAACATACCAAATAGTAATGATCTTCTTCATAAACTGGGAAGAAAAAAAGCTGAATATCCTTGTGTGGTACAACTGATTTTATGTACAAATTCTTAGCAACCTCAAAAAACATCTTATTCCGATGGGCAACAGAATCTATCTCATAGTGAATAAGACAGTCCTACATGTTAAAGAAAAAAAAATTAATTACAACAAAAAAACAAAATAATTCAATAAAACAAAATAAATGAAAGAATTTGAACTTACGGTAGCACTAAGGTAAAAAAAGAAACGAGCAGGAGAATTTGAATCTCTAAACTGCTCATTATAATTCAGAATGCTACACCAAGCATTAATGATCTCTGTATCAACTTTATATTTATTATAAAGATTCTCAAGATGTACTCTCAAAATTTCAAGACCATTCTCTCCATTAAATATTGGTTCACTGCATAAAAAGAATAAAGAAAGTTAGTATGTCTAAAACAAATGGAAGTTAATGTACAAGATAATAAATTCTATAGATAAAAAAAATACTTACAAACGATTTTCATCATCAGCAAACATTGCCTTCAAGACGCTCATCTGAACTGGTGATAATGGATTGTAAATTATCATAATGCGGGACTTAAAAGGTGATCTAAGAAGCACTGATGGCTGAGGTTTGCGTTTCTTTGGAATAGAACTCTTCTTTTCAGTATCACCTTTTCTCTTATGCACAATTAAAGCTTCTTGAGCATCAGAAGTGAGATCTTGAGGATTAGCAATCAGAGCATCACCAACAGCTTGAGAAGCATCAGCAACAGAAACACCAACTTGTGCACTGACAGAAGCAACTACAGGTTCAGTAGGCGCATTGCTAGGGGGAGAATCAGTTTCTTGAGAAAAGACTCCTAAACTGAATGTAGGAGTTCCAGATTCTTTGGCAAGTGAACGTCCTGAAGCAGATTTGAAACTTGAATCTCCAATTTTTTTGAACACATTTTCAGCAGCCCTATCTGAACATCCAACATCAGGGATACAACTTGCTATCTGAACACTTTCAGAAGCAATCTTAGTAACATCAATGGGTTCCGATTCATTTGGATGAACAACCATTGCATTGATTGAAGATTCAGCATGCTTTTTGTTGCTTGAAATCTCAGAAAACCTATCCCAAGCTTCAATTACTACTGGATCTTGCCAATACCCTTCATCTTGGCTAAATGAAAGAGTATTATCTTCAGTCAAAGTTTTGGAGCTCATCTTATACTCATCACAAATGCCCATGGCATCTTCCTTCAACTTTTGTATCTTCTCGTTGTTTGGAAAATACTTGATGGCAGTTTCATGTTTTTTATAGAAATGCATGTATGCCAAGACCAGGTTTGTAGATGCTTTTGCAAGCTCTATAAGGCATTTCTGTAAAAAAAAAAATAAAAAAAAAATATATAAATAAGATAAATATAAATGAGAAGAGTAAATATGAAATGAGCAAAGTGGAAATGAAATGAGCAAAGTGGATATGGAATGAGAAAAGTCATATAAAAATGAGCAAATTGAACTTTATATGAGCATTGAAGTTTTTGCTC